CTGAAATCAGCAGACCCGGAAAGAGCTGAACGGATTGCCGTGTTTTAGAGTTCACAGCTTCAGGGTTTGGGCCTCTTGGGTGCAAAGTTTTGGGTCTAGAGATCAGGTCTCGGGTTTGATCGGGGTTCAGTATTCAGGGCTTTAGGGCTTCATGGCTTAATGGCTTTCTGAGAAGTCTCATCCCCCCATTTAAGGATGTCTAGGGACAGGTTGGTGAGCGCCCGACCTGCTGAAAGCGCTTCCCTCCAGGAAGGTCGTTCTAGGTTTCTAACCAGCTTGAATCTAGGATCCTGTAGGACACCTGTGCGATCTTAGCTAATATGTATATATATATATACATTTATGGAGGGTTCCAGCACTAAGGGGCCCCCTTGAGCGCTTTTATGATCAAGGATAGCTTATTTCTGGGAACTATCATATGATACGCGAGTACATTCGGAAACTTTGACAGGTGCTGTCTTCCTTGCAGGTGGTTAGTAGGGCAATGCAGGACTAGGATATGGGGATCATGAAACAGGTTTATATGGGTAGCCCTAAACCTATACAGGGTACCCCAAGCTGCAATCAGAATCCCCCTAACCCCTAATCCCTAAACCCTAAATCTTCAATTCCCTTCAGTAGCCACCGGTAAGAAGCTGCATGCTTCGGGTGTGTTGGTCAGTGTTGTTTTTTTTGGGTTTAGCCTCCCTGTGGTCATAGACTTGATATCGCACCCACCAGACCCAAACCCCGAGGTTTTTAGGGCCATGAGGGCCTGTTGGGGCTTATTGGTTTCCGGAAATTTTGGCATGGGACTTGCCACCACATACGATGAGCCTCGCATTGCCCTAGCGTACTTGCTAGCCTCCTGTTACGTTGAGGGGACCCTTATCAACTCACTCATTTGAGATGATTAGTTCGAGGCAGCGACCAAGGGTGTACTTGAAGGTCTTGGGGTACAACTCATGTATACCTAGGCCCTCCTCCTACCCTCTATTAGGACCTAAGTATCCACCATTAGGGACCATATATCCCCAATTAAGGGTGCAAGGAAGGTCCTGGTATAATCGGCCTTAGAGGTAACTTTGGCAAACTACCACTTGCACATCTAGTGTAGGTACAGGCTGACTGCCGAATAATGGAACTTATACCTGAGGAGGACCCCCCACCCTGTAATAGTGGTATAATAGGAATCTAAGAGGACCTTAATATAATCCCTATTATCCCCTATAGTCACTATTACTGGGTGGGGGGTCCACCTAACTTATACCCGGTTCAGATGTCACCCTCGCATAGGTGAATTGCGCATCTATCGGCAATAAATAAGTGGTCATTCTGAAAAGCACTGACAGAGCTTGCCCTTGTAGGCCTTCAGGGAATGATGGAAAGATACTGTCATTTTTATTACTATGGCCTGAAGCCTGTTGACTCACGCCGTTGGCCCTACGCCCTCAGCGATAAAATTTGAAGCTCTGAATTGCAATCCTTTGGCAAGGATACGACTCGGTCTACTTCAACCCCGGCGATGGCGGTGAGTACATGATTTGGGATCCGCGTCGTGTAGTCTCCATGAGACAAGTGCGCTGAAGTATGGGTAGATGGAGGGATGGGAATGCACAAATGGGGTTCTAGCCCTAAGGGTCCAAGGACCCAAATAATATGGTTGTAGGGCCCAAATACCATTAACATTATAGTATTTGGGGCCTTGGACCCTTAGGGTAGGGTTGAGGTTCTAGGCTTACGGGGTGAGTTGTCCCTGCGGATATTGCGCTGTAACTCCTACCATGCAGTACCCTTCTTCAGGTAGATGACACCTTTCACAATACTATATATATATATATAGAAAATGTATAGTGCCCTAGATTCCTCTAGGGGCGTGAAGGAGAGTCATTTTGCTCTCTCAATCTCTTTTGTGCTGCTTTCGGATGGCGACAGTTTCTGGAAACGCGGGGCCCCAGAAGGCACACATCCGTGGTTAATGGTCTAGGTCTAAGGTGGGGATACCCTGGGGATTCCATACCAGGATGGGCTATTAGACCCTATAATGCCATTGTTCATTTAAGATAAGGGTAGAGGAGCTCTAAGAGCCCATCCTGGTGTAACAGCCTCCAACGCTGGGGGCCCCTCGTTTTGGAAGCTTTCGGAAGAGCCTGACAAGCGGGCTCACCTAAAGGCACCCGGGTCAAGAAGGCACGGGTTGTGCCTACCAGTAGAAGATTGGCTGTCGCTTTTGCAGGGCTGTGTTTCTCGGACGGATCCCTTTGCAACCTTATAGGCAGGAAGCAGCAGAATTCTCCATGGAACTCCTGCAAAAACGTCTCATCTGCAAAATACAACATAACCCTTGTATCACCAGTCACTATATAATGCCTATATAACCCATTATAGTAGTTTCCATTTTCTTTTCCATTATCCCCATACTATATATTAAAGTTGATCCTTAGGCATCTTCAGGGTCCTGCAGCGAACCCTAAACCCTAAACCCTAAACCCCCTTCAACCCTGCTTTGAGAAAGCTCCAGGTTGCTTTTCTTACTGTTTGTTAGTAGGGAATATAATCCCCAAATCATCCCTATAACATTTTCCCCCATATTCCTACTGACTACCAGTAAGCTTTGTGCTGCCCAGCTGTTTTCGGCTCAGCTCGTTTCGACCACAGCGGCTTGGCTGGCAATCCCTGAAGCAAGAGGACTATCTGGACACCGAGAGTAAGTAAAAGAATGGCCCATGACCGTTTAAAACAGCACAAAAGAGCACTTAGTTGACATACTGATCCATCTGCAAGTGGTGTAGCTGACCCTCGTCAATCACTTATACCAGGCATTCAGTTGATGCAGCCCTCAACCTTCGCAAAGCCAGGGTTTAGGGTAAGTCTGTGGTATATGCATAAGGCCCCGTGGGGCTCCGATGTCTTTACTTCGGGGACAAGTCGATGCTATGTAGTTACATGGACCGTTTGGGCCTGAAGCCTGAACTGCAAGCCCTAAACTCTAAATCCTTGACCCTTATTAATCCTAGACCTTGAATCCCAAACCCCAACCCTCAGCCCCAAAACGTGGATTAAGACAACATGGACCATGGAGTATCGCCCTGAGCCGCGCTCAGCCGCCGACTCCTGCGCCGCCAAGCCTGCAACCATTGCACTTCCCAAAACTAACATGGAACCTGAAAGGGGTATGTATACAGATGGTTGGCCAGAAGGTGACAAGGGGGGGGGGGGGTTCTGTGCTAATTAGTTGTTTTCCGTGTTAGTTTGGTGCAGGGCATCATGTCAGGGTAGCGGTTTTGGCAAAAAAGGCCGGCTTTTCTCTAGAGCAGGTAGTGCGAATCCAAACAGTTGTGATGATGGATAATTTAAAGCCGTCGTGGTCGAGGTTGGCCATCAGGTTTGTGGTCACAGCCGGATTCTGTTTTGGTATGCATCCTTCAATAAGCCACTCGTGAACAGGCACAAGCAAGCTTAGCAATCACGGCTTTGCAGCTTCATACATGCGGGGTTTTTGTAAGTCCCAACCAAAGCATGAGCCCCAAGTAAGGGGTCCTTCATACGGATAAAAGTCGTATCGGGTTTGCACTGAGTTTACCACTTTTATGCGAACTACCAGATAGTCATGTAATGTGCCAGATTCGGAAGGCGCAGTCCTGCGCAAACCACAGCATGCAGGAGCGCGAATCAGGGAACCCGTCAAGTGCGGCGTATCGCATAAATTGACGAGACACGTCCTAGCACTGCACAACGTTTTAAGCCCCATGCGGCGCTCCCCATTTGTCCAACAACCTCAGCCCTCAGGAGCCTTTGTCTTCGGCTCAGTTAACTGCCTGTGCCCTCGACATACCCAATGGGGTCAAGGTATCCACAACTTGACTAAATGCAGAGCTACAGACCAATGGCGTCACATTTACCCACAGTCCCGTTCTCGTTGCCATCTGTTTAACCATGAGAACGCTTCACCAAAGCGTAGTTACGAGAGTGAGGAAGCAGCCCTCCAACTCTCTAGGATGCCTCAGGGTGACCCTGTTTTGAGAAACCGTAAACCATAATTCCAGAAAGCAGTACTAGAATCTTCTACTTTCAGCTTAAACCTCCTAAACCTGTACCTTTGCTTTGGGAAAGCTTGATTTCTCTTGAATCATCTGAGGTACAAGCCCCACCTGAAGCAAATGAGCCGGCTCTGCAGGCCGGACACAAGCAGGTTTAGGGTTTAGGCTGTTTTCAAGAGCAACTGGGAGACATATGTATATGTATATATATATATACACATCCAGGGGTTCTATCGCGATCTTGTCGGGAATCATTTTGGGTCTAGAGCCGGGGGTGTAGAGGGAGATGGAAAGCCACATGAGTAAGCAAATGGAGAGTGACATGGAAACTGGGGTTTATAGGAATGTATATGTTCAAAGGGTTTGTTGAAAGACCGTCCTGGTATCTTGGAGCTGGGGTTAGATCCTCCTAGTACAGTACCCGGTACTGGGGTTGTAGGGCCCCTAACACTGGCTACTTAGACCAGAACGGAAGGTAATTGGAGGGTCTAGGGATGTACACCAGAATATTTTTGTTTCACATTGGAAGGACTCCCCAAACGAACCCGCCCCCATTTCTGCGAAGCCTCAAAGTCTTACAGCCTTTCTGGCCAGCAGCGCTGCTCTCTAACAGTTGCCCAAGCAGGTTTGCGCTGTTTGGGGATCCAAAGTGATTAGTGGCCCAAGTACGCGCTACTGCCGCTCTAGTGTAGTCTCTTCGTGAGGGTTTGCATAATAGCAACGAAACGTACACCCACCAGACAAGGCACCATACGATTTCCAGAGGTGTGATGCCTCGGGGCTTTAGCGAGATCATCTCATCATAGTGATCGGACGCCAAATCAGGCGTGCTGTCAGTGGCTTGCTGGCTATGTTTGCGTATATTTTGAAGAGGAGAGTGCTCTGAATCTGAACTGAAGATGTTTTTTGTATTCGTTGGTGGTCCTGATACCGACGTGCGGACATGGAACCGAGATTGAATCAGGGGCGTTTCGCGCTGACATGCTTGTGCTTCATGCGTTGAGTGGAAGAGGATGTCTTGGAAACTTCAAAAGAACAAACAGTCAGGACAGATCACGCACGGAGCTTTTCTGCTTAAGATATCTGACACCAGCTTTGCAGGAGACCTTGTTTTTGACGCTCAAGGAGGACGCTTCAATCGTGGACTCCACCCCCATTGCCTACGTGGGCAACATCCGAGCGAATGCAGAGACATGTTGGGTATCATTTCCTGGGAAGTATTCGGCAGGCCGCAAGGGATTTGTGTGACCACAATACCTTCCAAACCCGCACTGGAGTGCGTTGCAGTCAGCATTTCTCACAACAGGGACGTGGGGGTCACCTCAGCGTCAACGTCCACTAGCCGACTGAGTTTGCATTGCGCTGAACTACCCAACACGATAGCTCAAGCCCCGAGACCCTGAAGATTTCCGCCATTCTTGTGCAAGTACCCTTTTTTTATTTGGAGGCTGGGAGGCCTTGATCAGTGAATTCAGCGGAGACTCCGTGGCTTGCGTCTTTCTCTGCACTCGGCAAGATGGCCGGTCCCTCAGTCTGCAGATGTTGTATTTGGCAAAGCATCACTGGGCTCTTTCGTCAGACTTTGGAGCAAGGTCTTGGTCAACATGCAGAAGATCCCGAAAATCCTGGTCAATGCTGTTGTCGGAGGATGCTGGGCACTTGAGGGGTGGCCTTGTTATGCCTGCTTTTAGGCGTGTTTAGCCACTTAGCCCCACATGAGCAGAAGAGCCCAAACAGAGCATCCTGATGATGATCTAGGATATATGGAGTCCGAGATTATCTTCAGTTCGGGTATCTGATGACTATCAAGAAGACATTGGATGCCGAGAAGGTGAAGCAGAAGGAGGATGCGGCTGAGTTACGATTTCTTTTATTCTGAATATGCAAGAGGGTTCCCAGCAGGGATTGCGAATTCCATCGTCCGCAGGGTTTGGAGATTTTTCGGGAAGTAGCCTTGTTCCGTGCAGGCGCCAATGACACTAATGTGCAAGATGCCGAGCTAAGCGAAAGGCAAAATGCAGCACCTCAGCAAGTAGTCTACGGGCGGTCCAGTTAAGACATTTCAGAACGAAAAGGTAAAACGAAGGCCCCAAATTGCAACAAAGCCTTGACGCGAAGGGTAACCCAGAAAAACAACATATTCCTAGATCAGGTTTCGACCCGGATATTGCTCGTAACTCAGGTATTTTCCAGCTATGATCCTTGCCAGTATTGCCGAGCGGAGAGATTCGGCCCGGTACACTTCTTACTCAGGCACATTGTTCACGGGAGGACTAGTTGGTTGTTGTTCCTTTTCTGTTGGCCCTGTGGTCCTGCAGTCCCCGCAGTCCTCTTGCGCTGCGCCCCCCCCCCCGCCCCCAACCCCGCCATTCTTCAGCAGTGTCCCTGATTGTTTCATCCTTTTCATACCTGTTCACATTTTTTGCCACTTCCTGATGCTCCATTATCTTTCAGCAGTATCCTTGTTTTTTCTTCAGTTTCACCAGTTGCCATAATTGTATCATCATTTTCATGATGTTCATTCATTTTCATGATGTTTCAGCATTTTCCTCGATGATATATCAGCCTTCATCATGCTTCATGATTTGCTCAGTTTTCATCATGCTTTGGCAGGTTTCTCATCAAATTCATCAGTTTTACACCATTTCCTGCACTTCCATATTGTTTCATACATTTTCATTTTTTGTGTTCAACATTTGTTCTGCGTTCTTTGCTGAAATTTGCTATTTGCTTATCATGTTCCATAATGTTACATCATTTTCCGTATGTTTTGCTCATCAGTTTTGCCACACTTTCCACACCGGAAATTACTTTGTGGTTCATGAGAAGCTTCGAATACTTGAAACTGCACCCCACCTCCCACCCTCCCGAAAAAAATGAACACTCCGGGGCCTGAACAAGCTGAGCCAAAGCAACTCTGACAGGACCAGGCTGCTGCGATGAATGCCGTTTGCATACGTGAGGACGCGTCCAACAAGGAACAGGCAGAAGCTGTGCGGCAGGCAGAGTTGAACTGGCTGAGGGCTGGCAAGGTTGCAGCATGGGGTTGTGCCTGGTACCTCTTATGGTTGCAGCGGGTGCGCGAGGCTGTGGGCAGGGGGCAGAAGTTGAAGGCTGTTTTTTTCCCAGGACAGGCAGGGAAAGGCAGGGTCTCCATGAAGGAGCTCTCCAGCCCGAATTTCGATCCATGGGATGGTGTAGGATGTGGCGGCTCGCAAAAATGTGAGCTTGCAACCCTGGATCAGATGCAGGACAGGGAAGGTCCTGCCTGGAAGTACGAGGCAGTCGACGTTGGGATGTTTCTGAGGGGAGAGTTTTCTCCAGGATGCGAAGTCGACGCAAAGCATGGCTCCGAATGGATTCGAGGCTACCTAGTCAAGCAGAACCCCTTCCCCCCCCCTCCCCCCCCTCCTGCTTCCTTCCCTCCGCCCCCTTCCCCCCCTGCTCCTTCTCCCGCTTCCTTCCCTCCCCCCCCTCCCGCCCCCCCTCCCCCCAATACAGAAGACAGTATCACCTGGGTTGTGCGATGCGGGAGGACCCAGTATGAGTTTGTCACAAGTGACATCCGCCATGCGAGCAAAAACATGGAGAAGTTCCTTGAGGAGTTCCAAAAAAGACGCGGCCAGGCCCTCAGCTATCTATAGGTTGCATGTTGCGTGTCAACGAGCCGCGGGGAGTGTTTCTCAATTGACTTGTCCAACGCTAAGGCCAAAATGCTTTGAGTGATTCGTTGCGCGGGCTATTGTGTGGCATGCACCTAGAAAGTTGCAAGGCTACGAGGCTCCCAAGTGGCACTCCGGCGCTTGGCTTGGCTGTTCGCATCCCAGATATCAAGGCGTTGCATGCCCTAAGGGACAGGGTCTTGGACGGTCGACTGCAGCGGGACGTGAACCGGAAGTTGGATTGGGCAGGGCTTACATTCCAAGTCGAGAACAGTCGCGGTGTGAGCAAGAAGCTGGCTTGGGCAGAGCGTGCGCACACATTCCAAGTCGATAACACCCGCTTCTTCGAACTGTATGAGGACAGCCTGCTTGGCCTATCTAAACTGACCGAGCACCAGGAAGATAGGCTGAAGCAGATGAACGGCATGAGGAAGATCCACCTCTTTGCGCCCGCTGGCACAGGCAAGACGTTCTTGGCCATTCATCACTTGTTTGAGCTTCTGAGGATCAAGCCCTCGGCATCGGTACTCTATGTTGCCCCTAGCGAGGCTCTGGGTTTACATTTCCTTCAGTGGTTAGTTGCACGGCTTGCGCCTAAAGCCACAGACAGCGTTGCAGAGGTGCATCAAGTCTTCTCTCGGCTTACCTTTCTGCACGCTCCTTACACACACTTCGTGCGCCCGGACCTGGACGGGGCCTGCATTTTTCGCAAGCCGGTTGAAGCATTTCAGCCCTTTGACCAGGCCATCTTCGATGAGAGCCATAAGATTTTCCCCGAGGATGCACACCTGACCCCGGCCATGAAATGCGGCCTCGCTGCAGGGCATATCCTGCTAATGTCTGATCCGTCCCAGTCCTCGGCGGTGAGCCAGAGCTACCCAGAAATGGGACAAGTGGTGGAGCTCAAGGAGGTCGTTCGCAGCACTCAACGCCTTGTAGCTGGAGCTGGCGCATTTCGCCTCAACGTCTCAGGCGAAGCCCCCGTGACTTGCCTTGGAACTGAGGGACCGCCTCTGAAGACCTACCTGTTTGACTGCAAGGAGCCCAAGAAGAAGCTTGACGAGTACGCGGCTCATGTGATCACTGCCCTATGGTATGTGGCGCAGATGTTTCCTGGAATCAGCTTCCACCGCCGCATTGCTCTGCTGGTTCCAGACTCTGGTTTCTGCGGGAGCTTGAAGCCAATCCTTCAAAAATGGTTGAAGGAACAGTTGCCACATCGAGACTTGAGCCTGGTATGTTTCAGAGAGGCCTTGAGCTGCTTGCCTGGTCGTCTTCTGGGCACCACACAAAGCAATGAGAAGGAGCTCATCATACTGGACTCGGTGGACAATGCCGACGGGCTTGAACAGCTTGTCGTCATCTGTGTTGGGCTGGATGCCCCCATCGACCGTGCTAAGGGTGACCTGCAAACAAGGGCCCGGTTGTACCGTGGCATCACGAGAGCACAATTGCTTGCAGTCGTGGTGAATGAGAGCGTGCCAGGTGGTTGGCTCCAGTTCCTTGGAGCCGTGCAGTTCATGGACTCCAAGCTCCAAGAGGAGGAGCTGACCGCTTCAGCGAAGAGTGCCACAAAGATCCAGGAGGAAGCCCTGCGGCACGTCGGTGCGCTGCAATCGCATACGGGCTGTACCAAGCCACAGAGATCGAACACCTCGGACAGCGGGCTACCCAGACCGACGGAGAATGAGACTAGAAAGCTTGTTTCATTAAAGGAGTCCAGTGTTTGGGACACCCGTTCCAACAAAATTGCGCGGCCGACTTCGCTGCTTTTTGACCCGATGGAGGACCGACTTGCAAGCAGGAAGCCCAAACAGCCTCACGCCCAAAGCCTGATGCCTCGAGCTGCAGGTTTCCCACAAACATGTTGGATTGAGTGCGCTCGTGTCTGGGTGATCTACGTTGTTTCAAAGTAGGATGGCAGAGAGTGAGTAGAGGGCTGATGAAACCTTCATCGGGCCTACAGGTGGACACGATGTCCCACTTCTAAAGCCACGAACCCAAACCTGAAGCGAGGACGATTCCAAGAATAGCTCAGAGAACAACCCCCAGGCTGGCTTGGATTTTCAGAGCTTTTCGGGGCTGGAGCTCTTGTTCAGGGATTTTGCATTTTTGTGTTCTTTCGGCATGTTGATACTGAGGAGTTCAAGGTTAATTGGCGTTTGTGGATCTGAGCGCTTGAGACGTTGAGGCTTATAGGCCCTAGATTACGTTGATCCATTTTAGGTTCCATGTCTAGGGACGTTGCCTTCATTTTAGGCTTGCTACTTCATGTTGAGTCCATCCCAGATCTGTAGGCTGATTCTACAGAGCTTGGTAGACTATGCTCCAGGTTCCGTTCTTGATTTCAGTTTTGGTCCTGATACGATCGATATGCTCCTGCACTGAGCCTCCGGCCAGGCTGCAATCCCAGACGGCAGCGGCTCCCGCGTGGGTTATTTGAGTTTAATATTCGACGGAGGAAAGCTTCTGTGCATGTTTGAGTCTAGGGTCCAAACTGCGAAAATCAGCAAGGACGCGTGGAGCAGCTATTCCGAAAAGTCTACCAGATTCTGAGACAACACAACTACGATGTGCTAATGGTGGAACCAGGTCGGGGTTGTGGATTGGCTTTTCTTGCGTTGCAGAGCGCATCTTAGGCTTGAATAAACCCTTGAGGTGCGGCTCAGGATTACGGCGACATGACCACGCATTACTTATCAAGATTGCATGAAGAGAACGGCGTCCTGGTGGCTGTTTGCACGGAGAACTACGGGGAAGGAACAAGTTCAAGGGAAGTGGAGTTCGCTGTTAGGTACGAGATGCTTGATAGATGAGCAGGCAGTCTTTCTCTTGTAGCTTTGAGAGTTGGAAGTGTGGATCCGTGGGCCTCATTTAGGACACCTTCATTACATGGGCAACCAAGGATCTCAATAATGCCGCTCAAGATGGTGGACAGATACCCGCCTCGGCCTTCTTCTGCTCAAGATAAGGCCCTCATCGGCGTCCGTGTTCGGATTCAGTATTGTCGTTGGATTTGGGATAGCCCCTTAACGTTGACGAGTCGCTTCCGGACTTCAACCCCAACTGAGGCTTTGCGCTGCCTCGATCAAGACTCTACGCGGACTGCCGCGGGTTGGGTGAGAAGGAGATGCTGGGCTGCGGCTGTCAGAACTGGAGTGTAGTTGTCCAAGTCTCATCACATGAAGGAAAGGATGCGCTGGACACCACAGAGTAGCATTTGATGGGCTTCCGGAAGCCGAAAATTAAAGGGGTGGAACGGTGTCAGGGCCCCAGAAATACAGGTGTTATCAAGTCTTCATTGCTTTGTTCAGAGAATCCATGGGTTTGAAAGTGAATCGGAACTTTACGTTTAGGTGGACATTGATATACATATATATATATAATATGTTGTACCTGAAATCTATCGGCATAGGCTTCTGTTCTGAGTTATCATGTTACAATCTGTTAGTACTGTACGTATAGATATAGTAATATTTGTGCATACCACATATGTTTCTTAATTCTGCAAAAAGAAAAGTAATGCATGATTAGCATCCATACTCGATTGCAACTATAGTAGCTGAATGAACTGAACAACACAGTTGCTGGTGGGTTTGTTGGTTGTTTTCAAGAATTCAAGAGTGTGGTTGCAGTCACATACCCTGACTAACCGTACCAGCGTTAATAGAGACCCCTCCGATATTATGATACATGAACCGCCCTCTGCAAAATCTTGATTTTACATTGGGCCCCTTCCATGTATCCCAGTAATGGAAGTATTATCCTCCTCGCAACACATAAGCTTATATGTGCGTATATAGCTGCGGTAAAACATGTTCTCATGCACCAGCGAAGTTGTCCTGCAGCATGTGTGTTTAATTTTGGTTTCGTGCAAAATGCCAGTTGTTTTTACGGTTTCTCTGTCTGGAAGTTCTGTCACCCCGCGTTCGAAATAAGCTGGCCACCCTGAATGCACGCTCGCACGCGTAAACTAGCATCCACATCATGCACATGCAGCAGATGCTGGCGACAACGGGTTCTCCATGTTTTCTTTTTGTTGCAGCGCAGGTTCTCGGCAACCAGGGTAATCACGCCCCAACAAACATCAGCTTCCCAAATGTTTGGAGGAGTCCTGCTGGAGCCCCAATACGTTGATTGCATGCACCATCAAGTTTTTCTCCTGAGACATCAGCGCTTTTTTTTATGGCTAATCCTGACAAGCTATCTCTCATGTTGCGCAGTGATTTAGCTATGTCTGCTGCTTTACACGACCTGTCATCATTAACAACTTTTCATGTAAAGTCCCCTTTGTGCATCCCTATAAGACCCAAGGCCCAACCACCTGCCCCTCATGCAAATGCCTTTGCAATTGTTCATTTGGGTTCGAGCAGAAAGATACAAAGCCAATCACTGTTCATGGAAACCGTAATATCACATCCAAATGCGGCTCACCTGCAATTCATTTATGCACAAGGGAAATCGGCACAGACGTTCTCTCATTCAAATTGCCGCAGAGCGTTCACTTGTTCGCTGAGATTCCCCCCGATTTGATATCACTTGATATTCATATTTGGGTGTTCTCACCTGGACCCAAACCTGGCAAACCTCTACACGATCTATCGCCTTACCATTGTAACCAGCGTCCAGACACCCCGCCATTTATTCATGTAAGTGCTGATTGGAAAATCACTCTTCGCAACATAGGCCTCACAAATAATACCGGCGGTCTAACATACGTGAGAGGATCATCTGCAAAACTTGCAAGTGGAGGTTTCCTACAAAATCCATGAAGTCCCGTGTCATAGTCGAGCAAATTTCATTTCCAGTCACCGTATGACACAAAGCTCAACAAAACTGTACGTATGAGCTGCCAAGCTGGATCTTGCCTGCTTCGGCACAGATAGATCCATATCTAGGAACGTATTTTGAAGTGTAGACGGTTCATATGTAATGCATGGAGTGACTGGCGTAAGATCAACGACATAAGCAAGGAACCCGTAGGACGCTGAAGAGACAGTCTTTTGGTTTCGCATGTGAGATCAACTTTTCGGTAGTAACTATGTAGACTACGCCGTATGCTGACTCATTCTATCTCGCAAAACTGTAACAGAGAGCCTGAGAGCTTGCCTGCAAGCGGATCGTGATTTTGGCAGGGATCTTTTGTTGGGGTTTAGGGCACGGGGTTCAGGGTGCAGGTATGTTGGAGAGCTCATTTCCTACTCCTACAGGGACACCTAGGCCCGCAGTAATGAGCGTGGGAGTTGTGACACATTGCGTTGCCTACATCCAGGTTGCCTTGCGAAATATCAGGGCGGGCAAAAAACAAAAATATGTAGCTGCGTCTGAATTATATGGTTAGTCATAATGTTTGTTTGTTTGTGTTTTGCTGTGTTTGTTCTCCTTTCGCCCCCGTTCCCCTCTCCCTCCCCTATCCTTCCCCCTCTCCCTTGGAATCTTGGACCTGAGTCCAGCATCTAAAGCTCACACGCAGCGGCGCAAAGTGCGCTATGATATTGGGTAGTTAGTTGACAAGAATTTCTCCTACGCTCCACTTTTTGGGGAGTTGTATTGACACAATTTTGTTCAGGACTGTCTTGCTTTCTATGCAAAATACTGTTCGTGTACCTGCGCTATGTATGCATATCATTGTCAATTCCTGTGTACTGTTTGCTCTATCATTTCTACGTTTCTATCAGTTCTGTGAGAACCTCACTAAGCTTGAACACTGCAAAACAATGTTCCTGACATCGCACCTTTCTTTATGAGAAGTGCAATCCAAGGACCAATATTGTAGCAGAAATGTTTCAGCTAGCATGCTGACTGGGCTGCTGTACTACGTTTCGACCAATCTCCTGGCTCCCAACAAGGGTGTTTCAAATAATATCTCAAACTGCAACGAAGAATCCTGGACAGGGAGACCTGCCCCATATTCCGTACAAGGCAAGCATTCGTCCTCAAACTCAAGCCAAGCCCCCGGCTTCCAGCAAAGCTCACCCACAAACTCAGGATCGCTCTCAACATCGCAGAATGCCTGTGGCAGATGGCGCCGGGCAGCATGGCACAGCTAAACTTGTAGCCTTGGAACTATCTACGTCCAAAGATTGTTGGCCGCTGGGTGTTTTTAACAAGTTGGCTTCTCAGTTGATATTATACATTTTTTACCGCGCTTCAAACCGGGTGTCTTGTCTTGCAAGTCCTGAATCAACTTCTGAGAGTTCAGCAGTGGGCTTGTAGTGACCCATATACGGAAAGCTTCATATCACCAACCCCTGTAGACGAATTTTCCCCAAAAGCGTCCGGAAATCTTGAGTAGCTGACATGTCAAGAAGCATTGCGCAAACGCGAATGCTAACCGGCTATCTGAAATGTACGGTTCCAATTGTAGATGTACCAGTGGGATGTTCTCAGAAATTTACCGGGAATCCAGTGCGAACTGCAGATCGAAGCAAGACAGACTTACATGTTTTCCGATGGGGGAACGCAGAAGCTCAGCTCGGTAGCTGCCTAGAGGAAGTGGGGCGGTCAGTGTGCCTGCCCAAGACATGCTGCTTAAGGTTTTCGAAGCAGCAAAAGATAAGAACGCCCGCTGGTTCGCGGTTCACATTCCCTGCTCTGGTGAATGCGCAGTGCAAGCGGCACCTCAGGTTGACAATGCCCTAGGATGGCTTCGCTCGAACGTGAACCTATAACAGATTCCTATGTAGTCGTCTTACCCCTGACCCAAGCATGGAGCCCTGAGCCTTCAACCCGACATTCCCGTCCCGGCGAATCAGATTCAAGAGTGAGTGGCTGCTTATGCAATTCAACTTTTTTCCCCCGATGCACATCAGTTTTTGAAGGTTGAGGGTCTGCCCTGCACTGTGCTTGTGGTTAATTCAGGGAAGCCGTCAAGCCTTCTGTAAACATGTGTTCAAAAAGGGGCTGTAAGGTCGTGCATCCCATGATCTTCAGATTGACAGTCAAGGAGTGAAGAGCTTGGGAGCCATGGGCCAAATTTCAGCCCCTACCCCTACCAGGATCTGTCCATGCCAGATGTTATTTCGAGGAGGGCCCAAATTCCACCATACACATGATTTAGCCCAAGCTGGAGTGATCCCCATATACGATTCTTATAGGCGACCGCTACAACCGTCACGTAATGCAATCCCTACGTATCCGTTGACGCCCCCAACTTTGAGAAACGCACACTTCAATCTGTGGCCCATGAAACCAGCCCCAGGCACCCTCAAAAGCTAGGAGCTACCCATGTCCAAGGCCAGGCGCCCCAGCCTTGATGGAGTTTCTGGTTAGTCTTGGGAGGGTATTGCAGCGCTGAAGAGGGACCCCTGACGCTGACAGCCTGAGAAACTAGCGTGTTCTGGCTTGATGTTTTCCAACATCTTACATGTCTCTGTATACTTGAACCCCATGTATGTATATTCCAGGTGCTCAGTTCGATAGCACCTCAAAGATGTTAAATGCAGGTTGTTGCGATTGGGATTTTCATGGTGGCTGTTCGTTGGGACTTGTGGTTGCAAGCCTAAAGAAAATAATGTCCAGCGGTTTGCGGAATCAGAACATGACCAAGCTTCATAGATGAACAAAGCCTTGAACCCTGCACCTGGCACCCTAAATCGCGATGTGCACCCTAGATCCTCAATGCATGCACAATCCTAGAACCTGTGCGCAATACACCCCAAAGATCCCAAAGGCCCTGTAGGAGTCCAGGCTTGGCAGGTTGATTGGCTGTGCCAGCTCTTTCTGTTGTAGGGTTTGCGGTTGTGGGTTTTGGAGTTGGCTTCGAGGCTCCAGAGACAAAGTGGGAGTTCGGCAGTGCATTCCAGCAAGCCACGGAACCCGAGCCACGCCTCAGGGGCTCTCTTCAAAAGCATGCTGGGGACATGTCCCAGCGGCAATGCACAGCAGATATCACGTGAATGAACATGACATGCAGAGAACGCTTTTGGATGCGTATTCTGTGCCTGTGACCACCCATCCGATCGTCATTTATGTAACCCCATACTGTTTGCAAACACCGGAAGATTGAAAGTACCAAGCTGGTGCGTGGATTTCGTGTGTAGCCGGGAGAGATGCAAGAAAGCATGAACGTTTAGGGCTTCGAGCGCGTGGCGTAGGACGCTTCAACCTACAACCTGCGTACTGACCTTACATGCATAGACGCCTCCAGCTGGGACCTGCCAATGTGCTGCAGCCCATATCTCTGACGTTGGACCTGCATCATTTCGAAAAATCCAC